GGCGCGCCCCCCCCCCCCCCAGCGGCTCCTGCGGTCCTCGGGGCTCCCCCGCTCCCAAGCCCTGCAGCCCAAGTCCCGGGCTCCAGGCGGTGCGAGCCCAGCATCTGAGCTGCGAAGCCGACACGTCGGCGGGGCTTCGCCCGTGTTTCTGCGTCCTGCTGGGGGGCTTCGGCATCGGAGCGTGACCGAACCCGAAATACGGGACGCTTGAACTTAGTTAGGTGGCCGCTGGCTGGAAGCGAGTGCGCTCCAAGGCGCTGGTGTCCCCTGGACGCGGCTGGAAAATCCCGGTGCAGGTGACGAGAGATCCTGTACATCCCAGCGCGGGTGACTGAGGGATCTGGCCGGGCTCGGAGACGCTGGTCCTTTGTAACGTGCTCCGTGTTCATTGTACGAGGTTAATGTAAAAAAAAAAAAAAAAAAAAGGCAGCTCTGGTGTAGAGCAGGTGAAGATATTTTATAATGCAAATGTATTTAAGATAGCTGCATTGTACAGCCGTGATCAGCTTCCATTTCATCTTGGTGTTTTATCTGGAAAATAGCTAAAATAGGAGTAGGAGAAGTTTTGTATTCCTGTGCTTTCAGCAGTATAGCAATTATATTTTCAAAAGCTATTTTCAGACAGTTTACACAAAGCATTTTCTTTAAAATTTGCAAGTTCAAGTTTTACTGGGTGTAGCAATTTTTACAGCATTCCGACTTTATATTTTTGTACTTGAAGCGTCATGTGTCCCCCAGACCATTTGTCTTGCTTTCCAAGATGTCTGGTATGTGCTTAGAACGGGACCAGAGGATGTTTAGCAGCTTCACGAATTAGAACATTCCGCACTGGAGATTTGTGCCCGAGTGCTGCAGCCAGACCCTGTGTGACCTGACATCATATCCCCAAGTTAAAGAACGCATTATTAAGCCATCGTTCAGTTAAACATGAAGCAAAAATTAGGACTCTAAAGCAAGTTTGTTGCTTATTTTTAGCTTTTCATTTTAGTGCTATAAAGCGAAATCTGCTTCTAGTTACACATATATCCTGTTTATGGTAGAATAATGCATGGCATACTCCTTGGTTAGCTTTTTTAAATTTTTAGGTCCTCTTTGAAAATTACTTTAGTATTTGGCATAATTATATTAATTATACTAAGAAGGAAGGTGTTAATGCCTCAAAGGAACACTTAAGCAGCAAGCAGAGCCTGCTGGGAGGAACGCGCTGTGTGTTTGCAGAGTCCATGTGTGTGGAGGATCCATGCGCTGTTGAAGCTCTGGTGATTTTTCTAGTGCCTTAATGGAATTGCCAGTTCTCGTCTACATGGGAAGAAGTCCCACCACTTCGAGAGGTGCTATTACTGCTTATGGCAAGCTATTAAGACAGAAACTTGCTAAATCGAGGTGCACGACACTTTTAGAAGTCTTGAAGTCCCTTATGGTTAACTAATAATTGTATTCTGGTGAGGCCCAGTGTATAAAGTAAGTTAATATTAATGAGCATGTTTGCTACCTGAACAGTCATTTTACCAGATCCTCATACCTCCTCATCTCATTTTCACCCCTGGATATTCAGTTCTCATGGTGTCGTAACACCGCGTGGCTCCTGCCCTCTCGACAGCCTCTGTAACAGGTCTGCCCAGCTGCTGGCCGCTGGTCAAGCTGCCATTTCGCACTCACAGTATTTTATTTTGACAGTGGATGGACCGATAAAAAGTATTCAAAAATACTGACTTACTGCCTCAATTTCAGCTTGATCGATAACTTTATCTGATGAAATTATGGAAATTGGGGTACTTTATTGATTGTTACTGTGGTTCTTAGCAAAGGGAGAAAACCGTTATTTTACATCTGTCTTCAATAGCCATGAACATTTTTTCCCCCCTGGTTTGCAATTACACGCAGTCAAAGCAATTTCCCTGTATAGCTATGGTAGTCCTGTGAGTAGTTTTGGTAATAGAAAGAACATTGAGATAAACCCTTGTTTTTTCTCAGGTGTGCCATCAGGGGGCCCTTGCAAACTACATCAGTCAAACAAAACAGCTGCTTCAGTTCTAGTGCATGAACAAGACAATTCTTATTAGCTGCTTCAGTTCCCCACTACAGTGAATTAGTTTATTTAACCATGCATGGTAAACAGAGGACCAAGTAACACTAATGTACCACGTTAATGTTAGCTCATCAATTATGATTGTATTTAAGGGATAATTGCAGTTCTTAGGAACTTAATATATGGACCAAAGTATTCCCTCTGAATCTAAAATGTTACACTTATTTAATAGGTAGTTTTGTTTGAATAACTGCAGAAAAAATTAGTTGAATTTGCCTTGCAAAAATTCATAGGCATCCATGAACCATATGGCTTTCTTACCTCTAGTAGAGAAATACATCTCTGCATGGCAGAGACAATATGTCAACAGCTATGATCAAACGTAAGTAGAAGCAGGCATGGATGAATCAGAATCCCTTTTAAAGTAGACCTGGCCGAGACCACAACTTCGCATATTTCAATCCATAAATATCTCCCATTAGAAAATTGTATTTCCTGAAAGAGATTATACGTGGCCACAGCTAATTTTGGTCATAGGGGCCAAAATGATTCATTGAAGTAAAATAAGTACTTTTCCTATTATATTTATTTAGGAAATGTCAAGTAGCGGTTTGTGTGTTGAGTACACAGTCATGGTGAGAGGACGGGAAGCATCCCATGCAGTTGGGCTCCTCGCTTAGTGTTTCTGCGCATGCTCCCGCATTTCTTCTCACTTTTTCCTCTCCGTGATTTCTTAAACGTTACTCATTTGCGCCATATTTTCAGTCTGTGATTTTTATGTTTCTATCCCTGCCAATTTTTAAAACTGAACAACGAAATCTTTCCAATATAGAAGGATTCACCTTCATTCCTCTATTGTTGTTGTAGCATGTATTGCTACTATTTAGAAATAATCTCCCCCCGCCACCACACACAGACACTTTTGACAGTGCGTGTAATACATGCACTGTGGTCAGCCGAGATGCTAAAGATTCTTATATTGCAGAGGGAATCGGTATCTGTTCTCTTCAGAAGAAGTAACATCTGTGTCTAGCAAAGTAGAGAAATTGGCAGTAATGAAACGGATCAAGAGATACGGTCAGATAGTTTCATAAATCAAAATTGGTAAAACCTGTAGTTTGGAGATGCAGATAGTACTTGTGTACAGGTACACACATGAAGTATACATGCCAGCTTGCTAGAATTCTGCCAATAGCTCCCATTTTGGGGTTCTTCATGAGCGCTCTTCCTCCACGCAGCATCCTTCCATCACTCTCAATCTTGTGTCCCCCCTCTTGAATCCTCATTTTCAAATACAAGTTGGCCACCTCAAAGGAAAGAAAAGAGGTTTCTCAGAATGACCTGTGTGCAGTTTGAGTACTGAACCAGTTATTGCAAAGTCAGTTTTAATCTAGCAACCTCAAGGTTAAGTCTTGATAAAATGGCTGGAAGCAGAGTTGGAAAGGAAAGCATAAAGTTAAGATAATAGAGATTTGGGAAGGGTTGAAGAGCAGTCTCTCATTCAGGGTGTCTGATGCGTGTTCTGCTGTGGAAACCAAGAGGTTGATGCAGCAGCCGTTAGCTCCTGTTGTGCTGCATTTCAGGGAGAAAACCCTCCTGCAGTACTTGCAGAGGCAACAGGTCAGCACTGAGAATGAGGATCTAAAGATTTTTTTTGACCTATCTCCTTATTTCCTCTGTCTTTATCTTTTAATTTAGGAAGAGTTATGATATTGTATTTTCAATAAGCTCCAGAGGACGGTGAGAATACAAATTAATTGTTTAAGCCTGTCTGGAATCTAATTGCCCTTAACATGCAAGGACTTTTAATAATCGCTTTCCTACACTCGATTTGTTTTCATGAGTAGGCGGTCAACTGAATTAGTTTGCTTTACTTCTTTCCTTCCTGACAGTAAGTTGCAGTGTGAAACTTTTAATACTTTAATGATATTATATAAATTACATATCATAAAATATCAGCAAATTATTCAGCAAGTCTCATAGTATTGCAACTGGTTAGGCTGGCAACTTTTTATAGAAACTGTATCCAGTATTATTAATGATGCAGATAATCAGTTTAGCACTTCAGGAAGCTTTGTCCAAACCATTTCACCATTGTGTTGTCGTTTTTAGAGCTCATGTAGCTGCAGGGATACAGAAGTATATTTTTGTATTATTGTGTGTTTTATTGGTGGTGAGGAGTGGAAAGAACTTCCCAGTTTTCACGCTTTCTTTCTAGCTTCACAAGTAGCCCATAAAAATAGCACAGAACAAATAGTTTCAATAGCCGCAAGTGGGAGGTTATTTTTGACCTTGTTTTTCCCCCTGAATGGCAGGCAATAGAGAAAGAACCTCAAGAAGTTACTATGCCATTTATTCTTTTATGGTGATCTATAAGTCGGGGGGGGGAGAAAGAAAAAAATCCTAAGAAAAAAACCACCCAGAGGATCTTTCACTCTCACCTTCTTATTGATTTATGGCTTAATAAGTCATTGGGACATAAAGCTGCAGAATATAAACACTCCTACTCAATCACATTTGTCTAAACAGAGCAAAAGTAAGGGGAAAGATGATGCTTCTGCTTCGTTCATGTGAATGAAGTCAAGTTCTCTTTAAAGAGAATAGGTACAAGGCCTGATTTGTGTCCTCTGTATGCCAAGAGATTTCACAGAGTCACAGAATGGTTGAGGTTGGAAGGGACCTCTAGAGATCATCTAGTCCAACCCCCTGCTCCAGCAGGGACACCCAGAGCACGTGGCACAGGGTGGCATCCAGGCGGGTTTGGAAGATCTCCAGAGAAGGAGACTCCATAACCTCTCTGGGCAGCCTGTTCCAGGGCTCTGTCACCCTCACAGGGAAGAAGTTCTTCCTCACATGGAGTTGGAGTTGTGTTTCAGTCCTGTCTCTGGCCACCACCAAGAAGAGTTTGGCCCCATCTTCTTTACATTCTCCTCTCAGATATTTATAGGGATTGATCAGATCTCCTCTCAGTCTTCTCCAGGCTGAACAGGCCCAGCTCGCTTAGTCTTTCACCTTAAGTGAACAAGTAATGAACAAATTCTTTCATTTTAGCTATTGATAACAATAATCTCTGTGATAAGAAGAAAAGAGGGCAGAGCTTGCTTGTCTTCCTTTGATCTCGCAGGCTTTCACATCCTCTGTAGTTGAAATGACAGTAGGAATCTAGGCCTTTATTTATTTATTTATTATACTAGAAGAGAAGTTAAGTTTTTTTGAAAAATTTGGGTATCCGTGAATTCCCTATTACTCCCTTAACCTGGCTTTATCGTGCTTACATGATGTAGGTGAAATTCGAGGTAGGCTTTGCAATGCTTATTTGTCTTGCCCAACTGGGGCATGGTGACATTGTGTCGCATGAAG